AGTAAATGCACAAGTTACCTGAATAGGAGGAAATTAGAACAGTGAGGCCTTTTATCTATGGTTAGCTTTGTCTGCAGAGAATGGAAAAGTATGTAGCCTGTTGGTGAATTTGCTGCTTTATGGTAATAATGGATTTTCCTAAAGCTGTTTCCCTCTGATCATTAATAATCCCTGTACAGTAAAGGGCTATTGTTCTTCAGTATGAGTAAATAACCCTGCTGGAGACACCGCTTATCTTCAGACCACAATGCATGCTTCTTACTGGAAATATAATGCAGGTGCCAATACTAGGCTTTCCTTCCTATGTCTCTTCCTTTATCTCTTTCTAACTCTTTACAGTCGCTGCTCTTTTCTCCTAGAGCTTTTCTAGTCCCTGCTTTTTTTGTCAGACACTGGCTGGTACACTGAATGATTTTATTGTCACAACTGAACAATCTTCAAGTCAAACTGTGCCCCACAGGTCTCTGGTTCCCTAGTTTCCATCTCACACACACACTTCTAGCACACACACACACACACACACACACACACACACACACTGGACTATTTCCTGTTCTGATTTAGTTTTTGGTTATTAGACTCTGAAGAGGGAAGTGATACCATACTGTTGTGCAATTCTCAGGATATGTTCATTTGGTGTACTTCATACCACAACAATTCTCTGAAACAGCATTTTTTATACAAAAAACTACAAGAATATGGTGTATAAGAGGTGTACCCACGGACAGAGGTAGACAATACATATATCAAAGGGAAAATGAAATTAGGTTAGATCCTGAAATATGGGAACCCACCAAACAAAGGGGAAATTCGAAATACCTATATCAGAAGGATTTCTAAAATAACTATCCCAAACAAAGCAATAGGAGGCAAACATGCATCCTAAAAGCAGATGTTCTTTGACTTGCAGATTAGGTCCTGACTGAGAAAGGGCCTGGAAGCTGCTGACCAACATTGGGGCTATTTCCAGCTCAGGAAAAGATTAAAATTCAAAGTGTAGTTTTTAGTGAATGTATCATTTTTCACATCATTGAAAAGTTGAAATTATTTTTATGTTGGGAACCATCAGTGTATCATGACAGCACTGGAACACACATCCAGATGGTATACATACATGAGAGTGACCCAAAATTGCAAGATATATCAATCAACCAGTCAACTTATACTTTCCTATTCAAGGCAAAAAATTATAAGTAGAAATCAATTTATAGTTCCTCAATTCAAAATAAATGGGCATTTACCCCTCACTAGAATGTTACACCCTGAATGCTGAGATTATAGGCATGTGCCAGCATATTTTAAGACAAAGATTAGCTAGAGGTATTCAAAACCAGTGAGAAATACATGGGAGGACTGGGAACAAGCCAATTTGAGAGACTCGTTCATAATTCTCCAGCCAGTATTTTCAATCCTTCATAGCAAGTAGGGAGGTCAGATAGCCCAAACACAAACTTAAATTTCTGTTCTGTGACATTCTTCTAAGAAACTTAATTAGAAAATTGCAAATTTTCTAGCCCAAACACAAACTTAAATTTCTGTTCTGTGACATTCTTCTAAGAAACTGAATTAGAAAATTGCAAAAAAGCTTTGGTGGATGCAGGGCGTGGTGCTCCACACCTTTAATCCCAGCACTCAGGAGTTCTTCCACAGAGCAAACTGTAGGTCAGCCAAGGCTATAGAGAGAAATCCTGTCTTGAAACAAAACAAACAAAAAAGGGCTTCAGTGACAACACTGGGCACAGCTGGAGATCTCTTGCACCTGATTCTATGTCCAACAGACAACAGAATTATACATTGGGGACCATGTTTTCAGAACACTCTCCAAGGTCTCTCCAGTTGTCAAATGAGCAACTTTATTTGTAGGGTCCAAGAGCTTCTTACCAGACTGTCCAGAGAGCAGGGCAATGGCTGTCTGGCTTTACTTGTGAGGAATAATTGGCACCCCAAATCCTTAAATTCTTTCAGTGCTTCAATCCAACACTGAACAAAAGAACTATGATAAAACTCTTCTATTTTATCCACCAGTGCAGAGACTAGCCACATGCAGCTCCTGGACATCTGGAATATGTGTCTAAGGCACTGTTATTTAAATTTAGTTACATGTGACTAGTAGCTACAAATGGATAGCACAGTTCTCAAGTCAACTGCAAATCAAATGTTAGTTTGGGAGCGGGAGTAAAGAGAGATACTTCTGGCTGACTTGGGACATAAGACACACACAAAGGGTAAGCAACTCTTCAGCTTTGGCTGCTACTGTGCAGGGATCTCTAGGAACTTCAGACTGTCCAACTTTCCAAATGAAGCCAAAAATCTGGATTCTGATGTTCAAGTTTTAAAAACTGGCAAGCAGATTAAAAAAAATTTTAAATCACACTGTGGACTGAACAATATGCTTGCAGACATTATCTGTTTTGCCAGCTTGCAACTTTTAATCTAGGCCAACCCTATCATCTCGAAGAGACCGACCTTTTCCAAGGCCACCCTATTAGATGCAGATCCAAGAATGAAATCCTGGCCTTAGCTGGGCGTTGGTGGCTCACACCTTTAATCCCAGCACTCGGGAGGCAGAGACAGGTGATCTCTGTGAGCTCGAGGCCAGCCTGTCTACAGAGCGAGTGCCAGGAAAGGCTCCAAACTCAGTCTTGAAAAACCAAAAACCAAAAAAAAAAAAAAAAAAAAAAAAAAAAAAAGAAAAAAAAAAAGAAAGAAAAGCTGAGCAGAGTTGTGTGTGGTAGCCCACACTTTTAATACCAGCACTTGGGAGGCAGAGGCAGGTAGATCTCAATGAATTGGAGGCTAGCCTGGTCTACAAATCGAGGTCCAGGACAGCTAGGACTGTTACACAGAGAAATGGGGGGGGGGGATTCCAAGGCTGGCACATCTCTGTATTAGGAAAGAACAGTGTTTTGGGAAGACAAACGTGTAAACCAGTATTTACTAAGAAACCAGGTAATGCATACAGATTACTTGTATACTACAAGTCCAAAAGCACTGACAGCTGACAGAGCAGGAAGACTTGAGTCAGGCCTTCAAGGGATGACTCGCTGATGGTGAGGGTTGATCCTGTTGTTCAAGGATATTAAGGGAGTCTCTTCATCTTTGAGGTGTTACTCTTGTTGAGCTTCCTATTGGCTTCAACCCCCTCTGGGTGGTCTTTAAATGTGAGGAGACCCAAGGAATTTGTGAGCTTTCCCATCTACTTCTTATTCCTAACTCTAGGAATAAAACCCACATTTACTATGTCCACCAATGACTTTTCTTAATGCTTGTCTACCTCATTTCTGGACATCTTTTGGGGGCTGCAAAATGACTTTTGACATATGTTCAAGAGAACTTAGGCTATTCCCTTTCAAAATGTTTTCTCTAGGTAGACTTCTCTGGCACCACCCTCTCCTATACACTTCATATCCAATTCAGCAGTCAGTCCGGCATGCTCAAGCTCCCAAATACATTCTAAATCAATTTTCTTCAACACCATTGTCCCATCTCCCATGGCATCGGCAATAGTCTCTTAATAGATTTAACTACTTTCTCTATCCAGCAGCAATTTTCAAAAATGTAAATAAGGTCTGATCAATCACTACCCTTCAGGAAGTAATAATACAAAGGCCAAACCCTTGCTATTTCTGCAACTGCAAGAAAGCTTTCAATCTCTTCTGCCTTTTGTTTTCAACGTTATCCCTTTGACACTTTTCTCAACCTAGCCAATTCCTTCCTTCTCCCATTCTCTCTCCCTCCTAAACACCAACGAGACGTTCTCTCCACTCCATCCAGCCTTTGGGGCAGTTGTATCTTCTGCACTCATATACTTATTAATGAAAAGTTCAGAAACGAGGCTTCCTTCTTTTTCTCCTTTGCTCATGTTGGTAAAGAAGCTAGCCTTAATTGTCACCTGAAGTCTGATTCCTACATCCGGGTTCATTTGCGTGGCCCTTCTCCAGGCAGAAACCTCTCCAGCCTCCCAGAACTGCCCTGTCGCCTTCCATTTACATTCGAAAAGTCTGAAGGGTCCCATGCCAGGACTCGCCCACGTGCCACTACCCTTAGGCAGGTCTCCCGAGGCCAGCAGCGATGACACCAAGCCGCCCTCGCGAGGCTGGGGTCACACAAGCGCGTCTCCTAGCAACCCCACACGTTCACCTCCTCCCTGCCCCAAGGGAGCCAACCCCTTTCCCCAGTCCCCCGCGACTGGAGCCGGCGTCTCCATCCTTACACTCACTCTGCGTCAGTCCTGCCTTCCCCCACCCACAGGAGCCGGCTGGGAGGAGGCGGTGCCAGGAGCTCTGCCCAGCCTTGGCCACACCGAGCTCCATCCAGCAGGTCGGGTAGACCAGGCCGGGCCAAACCACCGGGCGGACCGCTGTGGGAGCATGAGGCCCAGGTCAGAGGTCGTCTGAAACCTCCTCAAACTTCCAGCCCTAGCCCACTCCCCGCCGCACTCAACAACAGCCAACCTCCCACTCCTCCTGCTTTCTCTTCATCCTTTCGTTATCTCCTTCCCCCATTTCGTTAGAAAATGGCCCGGCCCAGCTCCTCCTAGCCCACCCTCCGCCGCTCCCCTCCTTGCCCTTACTTGGAGACGGCTTCGGAC